ACGGTTGTACGCGGGAATGTTTCTCGGACATAGTATCTGAATGTACTGGAAAAACTTAGGAGAGATTGAGTACCTGGTACTCATTCTGTCTGAAGTTTTCCCCGTAGGTAATATCCAGCAGCAGAGCCATTCCTTCCTCTCCTGAATTTTGCTCCCTGTCATTCGTCTTCATCAATCGTCGGAGGAGTAGGGAGGGTAGTGCGGCGTCCAAGGAAATTTGAAATATCCGCAACGGAATACTTCAACGTTCTTCCTGAAAGCGTGCCTCCGCAGGTGGGGTTTACGATTCAGGTGAGTGGTGACGCAGGTGAGAATCGCCTAACCTCTACAGGCTGTGGCAGAGACATAGCTCCTGTCCGATCTTCCTTGATTCCTCGTTCAAGCCGGACTGTGGCGTCTAGAAAGAGGATGGGCCGCTTGCCCCCAGGCGTCGACTTAATTAGTGTCTCCAATTTTTTTTCATTCAAAACATAAAAAATACGTTTATTTCGAATTGAAATTAACTTCTATATGTTGTTTGATTTTTTTTTTTCGTTTTCGGGCGCGTCAACTAATATAGTAATTAGTTATCGAGTATTGACCTACTATTATTCTTCACCCCGTAATTCCACATAATTCAAGCGTAAAAAGGAAATATTCAGACTCGCTGATGACAAATGCATGTGTTTATTTGGTGGGTCTACCCACTTACCGATCGGGGGAGCCTTCCAAATTATTACGCTAAAAATTTGTGTTTACTGGTAAAGTTCTTGTAATTATCTACACTGCTTTCCTGAAAGATGTATGTATATAAGCAACCTGATGCTGTTTTTTGGTATTAGCTTACCATCAATAAATAGTAATTAATATGAAATACTGATAGTACAGGCAGTTAATATTCAAAGAAAATAAACATAATATTTCATTCCGGATTCACGATGTCCAACAGGACACGTGAATGAATAGTGAACTATATTTTTAACCAAATCGTATAATTTTTCCACGTGTTGTGAGAGGACTCTTGACAGATTCGTGAAGAGTGAAAAGGACTTTCTTTCCAAAATAAATCGTGCGATGTTGAGGTTGTCGGTGGAGCGTGGACGGGACTGCGGAGCACGCGTGGAGTGGCACTTGGCCGCAGTCCGCAGCGCTGGAAGTGGTGCCAGAGGTTCCGATATTCACGTTGGCATGAATGAAGATGCTTCAAACGCTTGAGTGCAACCTAAAACAATGTTTTGACTACGTGAAAAATGTCTGTCACGAAGCATTGAATGCGTTTTATGGCGCGTGCACGGATTTATTGTAATTTGCATAGGTCGTGAGAGCGACGCTTCGTTTCCGCCTAGTTTTAGCTCGGAGTGTGGGCGTTCCTATCGTTGGAGAATGCTAACACGAACGTAAAGGAAAAGATATATAATCAGTTAAAGGAAATTTACCTTCTTAGAAAAAACAACAGGTTGTTCATTTATAAGTATAGTATATTTCAATATACTATATATGCGATCACAAGGACATATTCCCCATGTTTTTGACTCGTGAATATACATGAAAATAAAATGCTCTGATGTGCTTATCATTAAAAAAGGTACTATAATATGACTTGAAAACATGTTTTCACCAATTAAACGTAACTAATTACTACTGCCACGGGTATAACCGATTTGAAAATTTTATTTAATTTTTGAATTCTCAAACGTTGGTTTTTTACTGGTTTTAAATATTTCAATTCATTAAATTAAAAACATATTTATTTCGAATAATTTCTTTGTAAAATATAATTCGAGCAATTGTTAGGTGTTCATGAATGGATTAAGTGAATGCCTTCAGGAAGCGTAATCGTTATATTAATTTCTGCCATTGAAACTTCCTTTGTATTTTAAAATGAGTAATTAATGTAATGAAATTTCGCATAGTTAAGTAATTTAAAGAAAAAATTTGTTTCACGTGTAGTAATTGTAGTGATATATTTATTAACCCTGAAATTACAAGCAGTATTATATAAATGAATATAAGAATTGGATAAAACGGCAATCATTCAAATGTTCTTTTCACAAAAGATTACTCCTCATTACATAAATATGTCAAATATGGACCTGTTTTTAGTTAATTGAATTAAAGCGCTGATAACTGTTTACTAGGACGACTGTTATTCATTTCCGCGTTCACGTAACCTGAAAGTTAAGGTAATATTAGAAGACTTTTTTCTAATGATTACACCATATCTTAGACGAAAATCGTAAACTCAAACGACTTTGATGCTTGCTAATCGATGATGAGTTGAGAGTGTCCTGAAATCATAAGAGAATGATTAACATCATTCCGTTCTTTCAAAGAAAATATTTCTTAGAAAGTGATCTTGTGAATAAAAAAAATTGACTATCAAATACTAATTGTTTAATGCATGAAAATTAAATAATATGTTTGGGAAATATCGTAATATAGTTACAGGAAATTACGTTTAGTTTTTACCTTGTCTTTCATAAAGGTACTACAATAAGAGATACATCCAACACTTGTTCTGTTTTACAACCTCTTGTTCAGTTATTAAGTTAGTGTAAAATTACCTCTAAAACTCGAAAGTGCTGTTATATCATCACTGCTATTACTGTATTAGACATTAAACTGTAATAGAAAAACTGAAAAAGAATGCATTTCATTCATATTTTTATGAAACGTCTGTAAATCATGTTTAATCATTTCACTACTGTTTAGTTTAAATTCTCTATATGCCAAGAGGAATCTTGTCCATATCACATAATACCGATTTATGGGTCGTTGGTCCCATTCATGTGGTCTCTTTGTCCAATTCCTTCGTGATCCACAATGCGGTAGTTCTTCGTTTGAATGCAGACCCCAAATTAATGAACTCATCTATGCCCAAAACTCTTCTTCACTATTTACAACTTCTGTGATAGTGTATGCGTAACAAAAATTCGGATATTACTGAAGAATCTTGTATTTTCATGTACATATCGTTTGCAATACAGTATCATGGGTTACTATATTTTAAAATATTCTACTGGAAATATTCAGAAATTGAATCAAATAGATTACTTCGAAAACGCGGTCAAGCTTTTCCAGCTCTATCACTGTTATTATAACATTGGAGATTAAACTGCCCTCCTTTCAGAATTCATCTATAAATCATGTAATGTAATTTTATAATTATTTAGTATACATCTGGCCTATTATAACATCACTGGATGAATTTCGCACGAAACATTTAATAACAGGCGTCCGAGTCAACGACCTCAGCTGTGATGTTCCGATATCCAACTTTTTTCGTGATTCATAGAGCGAGAATCCTTCCTTTTTGTCTGGAAAAATCAAAGGCCGAGCAAGCTTTGTTTTGGGAGATGGACGAATTGTTAAGTATTAGTCAAGCGTTAGGGGGCGGTTGTGGCGGAGTTTGGGACGAGATGGCGG